TCGGCGCATAGCAATCTGGGCATCTTTGAGATAGAGACAGGAACAATATACATGGCACAAAATATGATTCGAGTGAGTGGGGGTTTCAGTCCCATCAAGACTGCACGGTTCACCTTTTTGTATCTCCAACCGTTTCCCGTCCTGAGCTCCGAAGCCCAGGCCGGTGGTGGACGAGGTCATGGAGAAGAGACCAAAATACACCGACGTCATGACCAGCTTGTGACCCGGCCTTCACAAAGAAGTGGTTGATTCTTGTTTCATGACCGGTGGATGGGATGTGGTGTGGCGGGTCAGAGTCATAGGTCGATGCGCCGTTCGGCGAATCATGAAGCTACACTGATTGATACATCGATACATGTCAAGCTACCATGGGGCTTGCCGTGTGTCGTAATCCGCACCCAGACAGCCCAGGACACCCTAGACAGCCAAGCTCATGGTGAACCCCAAGCTCTTGCCAAACTCAAAGGGAAAATGTGCATTGTGGTCTGTAAATGTGGGCTTGCCATTTCTTCAGGGGTTGTATCCTCGTATGAAGCTTACATTATGGTATACTAAGGGTCTACTAAATTTATGTCTATGTGGTGTGGGTGTGATTTGAACTTTTGTAGATCCTATATAGGCCTTAATTGATTGGTGTAGCCTTAGCAGTGTATTGTCCCCCCCAAACAGATGTGAGACAAAAACACCAGCCTCACAGGCGTTCGTGGTTTCTTCTCCAGGTGTGTGCGGAGCATGGCGGGTGACACGATCCTGGAGATGCAGATAGGTGGGGTGAGAGCGGATGAGAGCACTCAGAGCTTTTGCAAAGGCGGATGTAATAGGAGCATCCGCGTTTGTCCGTGTCTAGATGAAAGTGGATGGCACTGGTTTGGAGGTTGTCTTCACAAACAGATCGGTGGCATCCACAGACCGCGACGCGTCGCGCGTCTTCGTGATGTCTTCGTGATCGGCTCTGCTTTGGGTGTTGTTCTTTTATTTCTTTTCAAAAGACATTTCTTCTTTAGACCCTTCTGTCTTTTTTTCTTTCTTAAAGACCTTTCTTCTTTAGACCTTTCTTTGTTCTTTATTTTATTGGAGACCCATTTTTTTCTTGCTTTCTTTCTTTATTTCTTATTCTTTTTGAGACATTCTTTCCTAAGACAATTCTTTCTTTTCGTGTTTCTTTCTTTCTTGTAAAGACCTTTCTTCCTTGGACCTTCTATTCATGTTTTGTGTTTTGGCAATTTTGGTGTGACTCTTGGTATACTAGGTGGACAGTAGACTGATCTGACTGCCCTGATGGGGCGGAAGGCTGCCAGCCCTCAAACAGCAAACTAGCCAGCAATCAGTGAACCAATGAAGAGACACGTTTGCATGTCCGGGGTCACCGGGAAGACTTTGGACGCGGACGCTGAACCGCAGCTCTCAGCGAACGGATCAGCCCAACAGCAGGTTCATGGCATGTGCTTTCGCTGCCGATGAAGTACTTCATTTGTGGTCGACGGGGGCCTCAGACCGCGGGGCTTTCGTCGGGGGGGGAAGCCAGTGAGACTTTGACAATCAGCATGGAAGTAGAGGAACTCCACCTCTTTGTAGAGGAAAAAACAAATGGTCATCCAAGGACTGTACCATCCACTTCCGGTTTCAAGGAGTGTGTATAATTTAGAAGTTCTGAAGGGGTAGGGATAGAGTTCAGATACAATGGAGAGCCTTGTTTTAGATATGTTTTGATGATAGGGAATCGCTGGGAAGATTTTGGAGGTGCGCTGTGTGGACCAATCTCCCATTTTTCAATCTCAGGTCCAACCATGCGTTGGGTGATCCTCTCCTACTCACGGCTACGACAGCGATTTCTTGTTCTGAAGATGATTTGATTGGGTTCGAACTTCGACATCCCTGATTTCTTAAATTCCGCTAAGAAGGTGGACGGAGATACCCAGCACAGCGAAGCGAACTCCCTCACCTCCACACCTCCAAAGCGAACTCCAGGCCCGCCAGTGTCGAGTCCGCATGTCACCTGAAGGAGGTTCGCCCCCCCCCAACTCGGCCAACTTGAGGGTCAAACGCCGATGACCTGGGCACACCGCCCACATGGCGTCCGCACTCGTGGAAAAAAAAACAACTTGAGGGTCAACGAGTTGGGCGAAGCACGCAGATCCACCAAGCCCAGAAGCCTCGGCCCCGACGGACCCCGCTCGACCCGCTCGCTCAGCCGCTGCCAGGGCTCCGGATGCGGGACGGGGAGTATGACTTGCTGTTCGAGCAGCTCAGCCGCAACGGGGTGGGACGTCTGGCGGATGGAGCTGATCTTGCCATAGGACTTGTAGCCGAGTTGACCCCATAGAGGATAATAGAATATGATACGAATGGAGGCGGTTCGTTGATAAGAATGGAGTGAAGACCTGAGTTAATTATAGATTTATATTGGCTCTGGTGCCAATCCTTTGTTGATCTTGGGGTACAGATCAACATGCAATTCGCAAGTCTTAACTTGGGAGTTAATTCTCTTGACCACCCCTGCTTGCGGAAGAATTAACTCTTGATAGAATTTATTTTTGTTAGGTTCTGCATCGGGCAGCATTTGGAAGCCTTCTGGACCCATTGAAAAAGAATTAAATCGAGAGTTACAGTAATTCTTTTCTTGTGCTGTCAGTGTGGCCTATTCATTTGCATCCGGACCTTTCTCTTGCTGCTTTTGGGGCTGCAAGATGGCTGCGGTGCAATTGATGGCAGCTGCTCGAGACTGTGCAGCTCAGTAAAGCTTCCCTTCGTTCTAGGGCCTTGCAGTGGCTTGACTAGGAGAACAAGATGACTCATCCTTTGGTGACTTCTTCAGGGAAAGGTCAAGGAGCATCTTGAGTGCACACAAAAGTGGCTAGCACTACAAGCACCTACCTAAAGGTTAAGGAGAAAATAAAAATAAAGAGATAGATCAAGAGAAAAAGGCAAGGAGACAGACTGAAAAAGAATTAACTCCAGAGCTATTTCCTTTTTGATGACTTCTTTCTCCCACCTTCTTCTCCTAAACTTCTCTCACCTAGATAGAACAAAGTGGACCTAAAGGTAAAGAAAAAAGAGAAGGGAAAGACAGAGATAGACTAAGAGAAAGTCATCCTCAAACAACTGCAAGCAAGTGAGAAGGTCCTGCGATGCACCGGTCCGGTCCCTTTCGTTGTCCCCGGTCCGGTCCTGGCTTGGGCCTCGACGACCCGGTCCGTGCTGTGCCAAGCGCAGCGCCCGACCCCAGGAACCACATCTTGGGCCTCGATGAGAAGCTCGGCTCGGGCGACCTAGTGGATCGCTCGGCGACCAGCGGCGGTTAGAACCGGCGACCTGCGTCTTTCTTCGGCTGGGGCGACTGACCGAGCTGCCTGCATGGCCTGGTGGAAACCCGAAACAGACCTATATGGCAAAGCGTTTTCTTTGCGGAAAAGTGTCATGAAATAGTCCACACCAGGACCATCCAAGGACTGTCCAATGGACTACTACCCTACACGACCTTTTTAGGCTTCCATTGGGCACCCCTTGGATGGTCCAGGTATTCCATGAGAATGTTTTGATATGTGTTGTGTGGGTCAAAGGAGTGGCTGTGGAGACTTGATGGGGTGTCGGTGTGGAAAAAAAAACAACTCCAGTCTCGAAACACTGATGGATCCACATTGTTCGAAGCGAATGTTTGATTATTTTTTCGTGGGCTTGGAGGGTCCAACTGTAGAATTGGACGAAGCTGCCGTGAAAAAAGCGTGTAGGAACCATCCTCAGTTCGTCCCTTCCATTGGATCACTACTCGACCCAGTACACTTCCCAGACTCAACCAGCTGCTTTGGAGCAGTGTGCCACGCCCAGACTCAGGATCACTTGCCCAGGGGTGTTGGTTTCAGAAGGTTTCAGATACTTGTTCAACCTCGAAAGAGCACATTTACTTGGGATGATTCCCACAGGTCCTCCCATTTTTCAAGTGAGTTGAAGCCACCCACCCTGTCCACCATGAAACCGTCCCTTCATGGCTCCGCTTCATGGCTCCGCTTGCTCCAAGGGAAGCTCATCTCTGAAATTCCAGAGCACGGCATCGAGCTCATGCTCGTGAGGCCCGGTGTTTGATCGGTCGTGGATGAGAGATGTAGAGAGCATGTTCTGTGAAGGCATAGGCGAAGATCGCTCCTGGCCCATCTCCTCAGGTTCGGTGCTTAGACCCCCTAAATCCACCCCAACCACCTTCTGAGAATGTGGTTGGAGCCCTAGGGGATATGCAGGCTAAGTACGAGGGACATCGTGGGTAGTTAGAAAGGCTAGAAACGGACGTGACTTGGATGTGCAAATGGGTTGGGGATGGTTGGGGATGAGGCACATTGTGAACTCTGAGTTGATCTGATTTGTTTGTGAAGAGACCCTGCAAGACACAGGCTTTTCATTCTACTCGAGACGTTCCTTTCTTGTTTGAGGAGACGCCAATCTCGGAACCGCGTGAGGTTGTTTGGTTTGTTGTGCGTACATGTGCGTGCTACTTTCTATATCTTACTATATAGATGTCTATATAGTTACTCATATATACCATATATATATATATCGATTGCATTGCAAGAAGACCATTTGGACCAACCTCCGAGTCGCCGAGGGCTTTTCAGCCAACCCGCACCCGCACCGAGTCGCTCTCTCGCTCTCACCGAGACCCTCCAGGAACCTGCGGCCAGATGAGGACCATCCGATGGATCACTGGCCCAACGACGAGTACGAGGACCATGAGATCGATCAAGTCATGCGACGAGGCGCGCGAGGAGACCGATGCAGGTCCGCGAGGAGAGCAGGTGCGCGAGTAGGTGGGGAGATCACCTAGAACGCGATATGTCGCGATGCTGAGTTGGTGGATCACCTGCCAGCTGCTACAGTCTGCTACAGTTGTTGTTTGAAGGTTCCATTTTTGTCCCCATGAACATCCATGAACCAAGGCCGGATGGCCACCCGAAAACCCTCCACTGAATCAACACACCTTACCGCTCAGAACTGCGGTTGACCCTTCACGGCGGGACCCGTTCGTACCGGTGGAGGGATGCGGAGAACCCGAAGGGTGCCATCCTGGCCATTCGCGTTTTTTTGGTGTTTTTGTTGCCCTATAAGCTACAAGAGTGCTACATGCTGTAGCTACAAGTGAAACATGCAATGCTAGTTGCAATGCTATAGATTGTACTTGTAGCTTGAGTAAGTCACTTGTAGAAGTCCTTGATGAAGTTGAACATCGTGCTGCAGGCCACTCCACTGCCTAAATTCTCAATTTTCACATGCTGCTGCCAATGTAAGATTTGGAAGTTGCTTGTCACTGTTGCCAGTCACCAAACATTTCTATGCATATAAGTTTACATACCTTCACCTTTCTTTGCCGCGGAATCCAAAGGGCAGTGGGCGAGGGATAGCTCTTCAGACGACCGGATTTGAATCTAGGAGACGAATGACAATGACGGATTTCCTCAAGTCAGAGTCAATTGAAACAAAGTTTGCCCCTTGCATGACGGTTTGGAAGATAACTTTCCTGCTCCAGGTGGTGGCTTTGCTAATTTGGTTGAAACAAGTGCATGGATCTTTGATAAAAGAATCCGTGTTGCCATTTCCCCTATGAAATGGGAGGGGTCAGGCCTTGTATAAAAAGAATATGTTGTAGTAAAATATTTTTTTTGGCTTGCCGAAGCCATTTTGTAGAGCCCATTTTGTAGCAAAAAGCGTGCTTCTGGAACCTGGGCACCCATTTTGTAGCAAACAAACATGGACTGTCATGGAGCCTGGAACCTCATTCTGTAGTAGAATCTCGTCACTTTTGGGTGGTGTATCTTGCAACCCAGGAACTCATTTTGTAGGGGAGAACGTGGCGTAGTTTACAGTTGCCATTTGGCTCAACAAACAAGATGGAACCCACGAACCCGAATGCAAACACGTTCCATATGCCCAAATGACACTCTTGTAGGACACTCTTGTGTGTAGGAAGCTCTTGCGGGGCACTGTTTTGGGACACTCTTGTAGGACACTCTTGCGGGACACTCTTGTAGGACAC